TGAGGCCTTCGTTGTACCACTGTGCAATCAGTTCTGCTTTACAGTTACGATACGCCACACTTTACCTGGTAATACATTCATCGTACGGAAGATTTCCAAGTGATTGAGCGCAATCAGAGTGTTACGAGTTGGAATGCCACACGGATGTAGGCCACCGTATGTATAATCGGTGATGATTCAAGGGAGAAATCTTCATCACGCGGAATTCTATTCAGTAGGCTTTTGCTGGTTCGGACACGTTTGGCCTCGAACCTGGGGCAATCTGGCTGGTTCGAGATAAAAAGAAGCAAATATCAGAAAACCGAAAACAGATGAGTTCTTATCGGGCCGAAATGCTTTAAATGGGCCACACGGACCGATTAGACTATGCATATCGTGTGCTGAAGATAGAGGAGTCCACTTGGCGTCAAAACATGTCCAATTCCGTCTCCCTCTCTGTCTCTGTCTGTCTCCGATTAACACGCTCTCATCTACTCTGTACACATCTTTGGCCTTGATAGTGATCAGTGAAGCTTGCTTCACTGCATTTTCCATGCCAATAAGTCTTCTATTGAATAGACCCAATAAAATGAGAGTAGTCTCGAAAGAGCACAGGGTTATATCATTTCTCTGACCGTACTTTGTGGTCTAACCGAACGGAAGTCAAGAAGAAATCAATGGTACATGTTTCAGTACAATTATAGCACATTTGTGTCTCGGATAAATTAGTGAACAAATCTAATCGTTTGTGTGAAATAACGATCACAAACAATATGATGGGATACTAGAGGACAAAGAGGTGATCGAAGTAGAATAAAATGAGCGGTTCACGGATAAACGTTTTTTGGAGCTGTCATTGTGAGAATAAACCCCGTAAAACTTCCGCAAATGAGAAGTGACCTTTGAAGGTAATGTGATGCCTGATTTCGCCAAACCCGGTGATATGCACAGCAAAAAGCACATTAAAAGCTGACTCAACTGTTGTAACTACGCACGGAATCGACTGTAATCGGACCCAAAAATAAATATATCGTTGACCACAAGTGACACATTCGTGATGATTTCTTGTTCGATTGCGTTTAAGTTACAGTTTTCATAAAGCTTATAGTGAAGCAAGCCCGCCCATAAACGACCAATGTGGGCTCTGGGTGCGTCAGGAGCTACACAGCACACCAAGGGAGACAAGCTATTATTGGTCATTCATGAGGAACAAATTCTCCCATAAAACAAAGATTCCCGTTTGGGATTATCTGTCGTAAGACCATAACATCTCCCCACCCACCTCCCGAGCCATTCTGCTCACGTGTATCAACCATCTGCAAAGCAATTGATATCAGTCTGGGACTTCAATTGTTTATATAAAACCGGTTGATCTTAACAATCCGTGTGCCTTGGACAAACGGTGACCACGATCAGCACCAATCCAATCACAATTGTTTGCATACAAATCCAACAACTTACCAGCTTTTCTATCCATTTATCGACGGTTTCGTCCACCTCCTGATTATTGCTCTTAAAAACTGTTCGTTTTATTATATAAGAGACTTTTCCATTTCGCCTGTTCGCCTAGCTTAGCAATTTGTTTGCAAACGTTTCATCACCAGCCGAGGTGATATCGCCAGTGCTTGTGAAGTGGCCACTTCACCCGAGCTAGGCGAACCGAGTTTCAATAATTTGTCATAAAGCACTCTGGTTTGAGACGCAAAATTTACTCACGGATGGACGCTCAAACTGAATGTTGTCAAATCTCTCTGTCATTTTGGTTGTCACNTTGTCACATTTTATGGGAGGGGGGAGGGTTGAGTTACAAATTCTCATTTGTCATCGATTGTCCGGGTCTCCAAATTTGCTCATTCTTGCTTACCACCGCCAACTTGGTCTTTTCCATCCTCGTCAACTTTACAGATCTTCCCGATCAGGTAACCTAGGGTGGATTTGCATGAAGTAATAAATTTTTTGTCCTGTTTAATCAACGTCAAGCAGGGATTCAAAATCAATGATTTGCCTGTTACGTTGAAATTCCAATCAGAGACAGACAGACAGAGAGAGAGAGTTGGGGAAAAAAGTGAAAAACCCAAATGGATCTAGTATTGGGTCACTTCAGACGTACACGTCTGCGGACTTCCGCGAAACTCTGCGATGACGATATCCGAAATTGCCCAATAGGCATCGTTTAGTTCGCCAGGCATGCATGTGACTATTTGTTGCGGTTACCCGAAAAGCCTCTGTGTATATGCGATAATCACTTCGTTTCAAGTTATTGCCCAGTTTCATAATTTATCACAAAACATTTCAACCGGATTTCGAAACTTCTCGTAATTCATTGGGTCCTGATCCCATTGGGGCATAAATCAATCTCTCAAAGTCCGCGCAATCCACACTCCCAAAAATAGCTCCTTTGGCTCGTGTCTGTGTGAGTCCACATCAATCGAACTGGATTTGTTCTCATTGAACTTATAAAATATTTGTTTTCCGATACAGCATCACAATCGATGGCTATTGTCTACCGCAACACAATCGGCAAATAAAATGAACAGTACACACGGCTGGAAAATATCCGTGAAGACAACGAAACTGCGCTGTGCTACGCGCTCACCAACAAAGTCTTATACTCACTTCGCAGTGCACGTGTTGATTTATGCTGGAGACTGTAGCCACAATTAAGTAGATGACGTGAATAATCGGAATACGAACCACAAAGTCAATGCGGGAATTCATCGAAGCATGGTATTCCATGAGGGACTGCATAAACAAACATGTAGAACTGGAGCCCAGTTATCATTACCTAAGAAACCACTGGTGGTCCAAAACTGTCCCAGCTAAAACCGACCCAGAACCAGTTCCAACCAGTTTGAAACCGGTTCAAACCGGCTTACTGTTGGTCTAAGAAAGTCAGTCCACCAATGAGGTATAAGGGGGCGACACCATGACAAGGACGCAACCAATCAAATGATAGCAAATGGTCACAACCAACCAATAGGATTGAAGGGACGCAACTAGCCAATCTAAAACTTCGAACATAGCTATATAAGCGCGATGACACTGATAACTGGCGCTTCCGCGAAGTTGCGCTGATGATGTTGCCTAGCTTGGCTACGAAACTTCTGCGAACAACACTTCCAGCTCGGAAAACACACCAACAACAACATCCACATCCCGAGCTACAGTCGCACCACATTATCTCCAAGTGGATTCATTTACTCAAGGGATTCACTCAACAAGGGTCAGCTTCTACCAACATCTCTGTAGTTTTGTATGAAAACAAGCACGAGAATCGAATGTGCCTTCTCTAAATGGTGATTTGGTGTGACTTTTACCGACGATCGTTTGTACATTATATTCTTTATTAATCAACCGCACGCAGGTATGTGAAGGTGAAATTTGAAGAAACGTCAATCGCAACCAAGCAAATACGGCTCAGGGATTACTGTGACTTGGATGCTGAATGTTTCTCGCTCCTGAATTGCTTGTAAAGAAAGAAACTTTCCGAACCATGATATGGAAGCTGACATCACTTTTGGTTTATAGAGAGGCGGTGGACCAATATCTCGGTCTACTCTGTTCAGATCCGCCATTAGTAGTCGAATCTGTCATGTTTCCAACTGAGTCACGAACCAGGAGGAGGTTAGTGTTACGGTGACCGACCTACGATGCCTGCCATTACCTTGCATGGTTTAGTTGTATTAAACTGCGTCCAGTTTATATTGAAAACGGTCCGATCAGCTGCCCAGTGGAGCATGCTTGTGACGTTTAGGGGGTTGGATCTCCCGGTAGGTCTACGGGCTACCGCATACGTGAGGTCGAAACGGCTCTACAGTTTCCCTTGCGCTTCTTNACGCTTAGTTTGTTCTCCACTTGATGAAACTCAACATATCCTTTCTGTTAATGATGGACTCAAGATTTATAGTCCGCAGGGCAGCATAACAGTTGTATACGTTTTGTATACATGGGACAATATAGGAAAATATGCAAAAATTTGTATTGCTCGTCTACTGTATCAAAAAGCAGGTATAAATTATGTCATATTCCGATTGATTCCGGAAAAATAATCTGACTAAATCGTTATCTGTTATCACACACACACACACACGCACACACACACACATACACACACACACTGCCAAGACAGTTAAAGAATAAAGAAATATTTGCAGCGGGGAACAATGCTCGGTTTAGCCCGAATGATAGTCTGCATGAATTTGCTGTATGGTGTGTGCTAGCAACGTGATTGGGTCTGCCGGCCGTTTGTTCACCACCTCTAGCATCGCGGTCTCGAGCACTTCGGCTAGGTCAGGGGGAAAATTAGAAAATTTAAAAAAATGAGAGATAAAATGAAAAAAAGACGTGAATACCATCTGCCGGTGGCGTAAACGTATACAGACAATGTTACTGAAAGAGCATGATACCTTACGGTCTGAGTATTTCCTGAGCGACTAGTTAGGCATACAGTATGCAACAGACAAAAGATTATTTAAGACAATGGACCACACAAATAGGCCTTGATTATGTCCTGTGTTCGATATTTATAAAAAAAGGCCCTCTGGGATTCAACCTGTGCTGAAACAGTTTCGTCAAAACCCAGGGAACGAAGATCTATCACGATCACGTTTTTACGCTACCATAAGATCTCAAAAGAACCAATTCGCTGGTCTCCTATACGTTGGGCAGTGTGTGGTTGTGTTGTCTGGTCATGGTAAAAATTTTAATATTTCAGACCAGCTTGAAAACCTGTTGAAAATCAATCAAAGCGATGTTTTGAAATCATACACTGCAGGACGACGGGTCCTGAAGTGTGAGCCCCATTACATTGAGATTTAAATATCCTATTAGTGTGGCCTCGTAGCTCAGCTGGCAGGTTGTGCGCTCTATAAAGTGCAGGCGGCGTCCATGCGTGGGTTCGAATCCCACCGAGGCTACTGAACTTTTCACAATCTAGACATAAAAACTTCAAATCTGCCACAAAAATTAAATAGCGTTCAAGTATGTGTTGGCATGCATTTTATCTAGGTTTTAGGTGTGTTGGTGTGCGTGTATTTAAGTGGGGTTGGCATCAGAGAACGCACAAACACTTTTGAATTGAACTGTTCGGTTTTGAGAAAAGGTGAGGCCAAGCGATGTATGAGATAGTCATGAAAGTGAAACCACGGTTTGGTTCTCGTTTGGAGAATTTGATACCCGTGGGTTTTTTTCCCGTTGTTCCACAAAGCAGTAATAAAGACTTCTAGCTTGTGGTTCCCGTATCCTTGTCCTAAAATCATGTCATTTTCGAAGTCCACCGGATTGGCCCTTGCACAGGGCACTGGTAAGGCAGGGTACGCTCATTTGCATTTCTCGTAGTTTTCCAATTTTTGCTTGCTATCTACTTCAACTCTGTGCCTAGCTTGACAAGCGATTTACTGTCCCCCTCATTCCTTTACTTCCGTTCTGGACTATACGGTTGTACAAACACCTTTCATGTAGAACGAAGGCGGCAACTCGTGCTGGCGCAGTGGTAAAATCGATTGGGTAAAGCAGGATGCGGTGAGTTTGGTCACCATGAGCAAGTGTCTCTTCCGCTTCATTAATGCAAAGTTTGTACCAATCCTTTTCACTTTATATAAATGCAAATCTTCTAACTACTTACTTGACTAATTTTCTCCACTGTATTTTACATTTCATTGCGATTTGTTTTTTACTCTACTAGTGACAAGTTATTCGAAGAGAAAAACATGAATCCACCAACGTATTCTATGGATGTCGACCACTTGCTTCAGTGGGCGACCGCGTTTGCCCAAAACTCTGCGCCTAATCTCAGCAATACACGTCCAGGCTGCCCCACCAGATTCGTGCAATGCGACGTTGACAGCGGTGTTCAAACATCAACAGTCTATGTTTATCCTGCCTTCTTAATGGCTACGTATCTGCGCCGTACAGCAGAACTAACCGAACTGCGGCGGCATACGCTCAACCCTTCACATACGATCGGATGTCGCGACGGCGCCCCAAATGCCTCAATTTGGTCAATGCCAACCGAGCCTTCTGTATGCGAGCTGACACTGACTGGAAGCTTGTAAATAATTCGCTACAGCTTGAATACAACACAATACCATACAATCAGTGATGCGTCCACCGGGTGAGATGTAGATGCCCAATTAACAAGACTTATCCACCTGCTCTATTAGTTCCCCAGTTAGAGTGAGGCTGGGTGCTGGACCAACACAGTCTTGTAGTAACATTTTACTCTCTGAAGGTGCAAAACGCATACCGAATATGGCTATACTAGCACTCGAACTATCCAGAAAGGCTTGCAACTTACCTACATCTTCGCTTAGTAGCACAATGTCATCTTCATACTCTAGGTCAGACAGCCAGTCACCTGGGAGTAGATTGATGCCGCTATTCTCGTCATAGTATTGGGCTGTTTCAACAAAGTTAAATAGAAACAGAGAGGGCAACCCTGACAAACTCTACTTTTCGTGGTGAACTTGGGCAAAAACGTGTCGTGTCTTCATAGAGGAGAACAAGTAATTGTACGGCATGACCGGAACCGCCAGCGCAGCGAGAAGCGAATGATTGCTTTTCGTTATATTTCCTGCCCCAAAATTGACCTATTATTGGCATAATTGTTATTGCTGATACGTGTGCTTACCACACACTGTGACAGAATGTTTTATCCCTATTTCAGACCGGTCTGTTATTATTATTATTATATTATTTCGGACAATAATAACTGTTTGAGCTCGCGCCAACTGTAAATCCCTATTTGATTATCACTTTTACTGTTTGTTATGTTGTAACGCGGTTCCAATTGATTTGTCCCAAGGCAATGTGCATTCTGCTTCCAGTAATCAACGGGTCACGAACATACCGAGTCCGGTCTCGTCGAAATATTTCAACAAATTGATCTTTTCCTCATCCTCCGAAATCGATGGACTAGTCCCGATTTGAAAATCCGTTTCCTCGACCAATTCATCGATACCTTTCGTGTCAAACGGACCGGGGGGGGGGGCGGTTGGATGAAACAATGAACTAATGTCAACAGATCCAAGGTACTAATACTGTTATTCAATTGGAAAACGAATGCTGTTCAGTTTGAATGAATGACACGTGAATAGTGTGAGCTAAAGTGGCTATAAAAGCATCGAAACTGGTATTACGTTTTGCTGTTCATTTCCCGCTTGCTAAACCAGCACACACACACACATTAGCCATTTGTAATAGCAAGGCAAGGAACGGGAACCAAGTGGTTGTTGAATCCTTTATTTCTGATGAGCCTTGTTGATAAAATATATGCATAAAGAACCGAACAATGACTCAAAAGCAAATTGAACGCCTGACAGTTGTCGAAAGCCTATCGGTCTGTATAGTTTGAGCTGGGCTCTCAACGAGTTCCAGTTCCAGTTTGTCGTATTAATCACGCATTTCAAGATGTGAGATTGCCTCCTTGTCAGCTAAGCAAATTCTTTCGCCTAAACGTTTTAGTATGAAAAACCGATAAATGTGATTTACAAATGTAACTTTTTTATTTTTATATTGAGAAAGAATGGTTTCTAAGTAGTCCAATCCGACCGTAAGTTCCACAACTTGATGCCAGGTGGTAGCGTCCACCACAAAGTTTGCTCGATATGGAAAGCTATACCAACCACTAAGCGCAATGAAGCGTGGTATTCAAAGAATCAACAGGCGTACACTCACACTCGTGAAGAAGTAGAAACCAACTTCGCACGTACGTTATTTCCATCAAATTTTCAAACAGACAGTCAAATATCATAACAAGTCAAAGGAAGTCATGGAAACCATTGAAAACGCTCTATAAAAGCTGCTGCATTTTTTTCCAAAGCGAAATCGTGGATTAACCAAAGCATTTGTGCTTTCAGCCACTGCATGGTATAAAGGTCATGAAAAGGGAACCGATGATCCTAGTCGATTTCTTCCGCAAAAGCTTTCAAACATTTCATACTTATTTGCGAGAAATGGAGAACTCAGTTTATTCATTTGTTCTAAAGAGCCAATCTGAAATGCTGGGAATTAGTTTGCAGCTGTTTCGTTCCGTTTGGGTCTCATCAGAAGTGTAGCCTCAGCGACCCAACCGGGGATCGAACCCCAGGACCTCACAGGTAGAACGCCAAATACACTACATACTCGGACACCGGGCAGCTGCTCAGATCGTTTTTTGGTTTTTCTCATGAACGAGTTAGCAGAACGAATGCATCTTGGCGAGCTTAATTTAGGTATCGCACCTTGCGCATCTAGTATTTACTCACATATGATGGAGTACATTACAACGCTTATAAATATTCGATAAATCGGACATCTTCTGATAGTACTTAACTTTCACTCAGAAGTTTAAGTTGATCCCTCCTAAAATAATCTACAAACAGGAGTGATGGCTTTGGGATCAATGGTGCTGGGACGAAGCACCAAGCGTTGAATTTCGCACTGTAACGGAATAATCGACGGGCAGTTCAGCAGCCCGTAAATGTATGTTCCCCATGTTGTTAAATGTGTTCATTTTGAGTTCCAAATGTAACCACAGTCCCATTGCATTATCTTCCACTAAATGTAAGAACAAAATAGCAATTACACATATTTGTGCTCCCTGATTTATTAATTGCTTACAAAATGGAGCCGGACAAGTGAAAACAGTTCTTCAACGCACCTGAATCAATAATTTCAATTAATTTTTCACCCATTTCCGCCAAATTCAGTGTCGAGTGATGTAAACAAGCATGAATCATTCACACAAAAAGGCGCAAACCGGATCACGACACAAGCCAACTTATTGCACGTGGCAGAACCAGAAGCTATTTACCTCCCACTGTTTGAGATGTCTCGTGCATCGTTCCCAATGTTCACAATCGACAGCACTGTGTTTGAAGTGAATTTCAAACAACAACAACAACTGAGCAACAACGCTGACTCTAATGCCCCGGTCAGCCAAACGTGTCCATGTGTGAACCAACGTATGTGTAGGAGCTAATACTACGTGAGATGGATTCATTACTTATCCCGGGTACAGTTTATTTCTCACGTCCATGCCTGTCCGGCTCTGTTTGTTTGTTTGTTCCCGTGGTTTATTGCACTCAATGTGTTTGCGCTCGACCGGCCGCGCTAGAGACCCACCCAGTTCGACGTGGAGGGTTGTATATAAAAGGGCTGATGTTAATCAAAATTGACTGTTCTAACCCACGCATTCTCAGTGGGGTTAAGGTGTGTGTGTGTGTGTGTGTGTGTGTGTGTGTGTGTGTGTGTGTGTGTGTGGATATGGTTGCACTTGTGTATGAGCTCGACCGCACCGGTAGCCATTCAGGTACGTATGTATGCATGTATGTATGTTTGTTTGTTTGTGTGTGTATGTATGTATGTATGTATCCATGTATCTATTCAGCCCGAGGGAGCGGATTCACGACCTTATTCGACTATCATGTATCTTTTGGGAGCTCACGACGGCGAATCGGTGGTGGTCATTCGTATGCTGATTAGAAAATCGTAATCTCGAAACTGCGGTTCGACAGGTCCACGTCATCCAACCATTTATCAATCATTTATCTCATTTCTAGTGGGACGATGTTATCATCTATCTTTTTTGTCCGGACATGACGATCGATTTTAGGTAAACATGGAGAAAATACTGTTCAGAGATTCGGAAACTTTATCAGTCAGCAACTTGTTTTTTCTTCTTTTTGTAGTCTGATTGTATGGGAATGAGTAGAGTTGGACAGAAATTGTTTTGTATCAAAGTGCGGACCGAAGATGGGTTTTCGGTGCTCCCGGGGTGTAAAATTATGCCGATTGATGATCTATCGTGAATAGACTTGGTTTTTTTTCTCTAACTAGATGGATTAAAACTCATTTTCTGTGAACATATAATCGGAATACTGAAATCTATTGAACTCCATTGAATAACTAGTTATTTTCTTGATCATGAATGACCTTTAGAGATTTTCACGATGGACATTGTATTGTAGTGGCGAATTGAATGATGCGTCCCAGAATGATGCGGTATGAAATGATCAGTTCAGACATTCATTCAAATTAGAAAAAAAGGTTAGTGGATCAGTCATTTTCCGCAAATAGAGTTTAATTATTCAGTAAATAGTGATCGATCAGGATCAGCATTCCCAATATGAAGTGACCGCCGTCACAGTTGGCTTTTGAAATGGTAATGTGAAGGGATAAAACGCAGAATAACTCACAACAGGTAACGCGGATACACAAAAACACTGACTGAGTCCTCCAATCGAATGCAACAGGGAAACCGACGGATTCATTGGCCCTTCGGCCGTCACACATTTCCTATTGGACCGTTTCTATCACAGAGCCCGTCTTGTCCGAATGAACTGATTTGTCTAAACGAAGCACATTGTGAGTGGGTTATTGAGGGAGATGACGGTTTCAGTGGGTTGGGGCGAAATCATGCTGTTCCCATCCCACTCACTCCGGAACGTTATACCGGTAATCGAGTGAACTTCAGTCGGGACTAAACGAACTCGGCAGTCCACGATGAGACGAGCCAGGAAGCCTAATTGTTTCGTGCGAAATGGATTTGGAACGAATACTAAGAGGATTACAAGGTTTGAAAGCTTTTCTCACCATGTTCTAACCGGTCTTAAACTTCTTCCACCGATCCGATCCGATCTTTTATTTATAGGTCCGAGCACGTAGTGAAGCCCTTGAACATACATAAATAAAGACAGTGAACCCATCGATTTCGAATCTGCTGATGACATGTTTGTTTACTTTTTTCTCTCACTGAATTGTTTACGAGCCGTATACGGTATACCGGTAGTTAGATACCACCTCCTCCAAAACACAAACATCTGAACCCCAAACTTCGTTTGTCGAAACCAATGACTGGCGGCTATTCACCAAATGTATATATATATATATATATATTGCGCTCTTTTTCAAATCTCTCGCGTAGGAATTTAGTCATTTTTTCCTTCTGATGAGGTCAACTGTCGCTGAAAAATATTCTGATACATGAATCATATTTGTTGGTTAAGTTGACTAAAAGTTTTGCCCAATATTTGGTAAGATAGGATACACGTCAAAATGCCCATTATACTTCATCCAAAAAGGGAGAAAATTGAAGTGGCATTCGATCCTGATTCAAATACGCGGCAAGCTAAGTGTTTTCAACCACTTTTCAGCTGAAAGAAATTATCATCAATGACTTAACTGAACAACGAAATCTCCACAGTTCGAAATCATCTGTAAGCCAGGACAAAAAAGAGTGGTTCAAGCACGCTGTTCCTTCATTGTCAATGTATTCAGCTAAATCCAGTAACAAGTAAACTGTCACAAAATATCGCTTGAAAGATTGATACACTATTGTAAAATGATTTATTACAATCTAATGTACTGAAACTGGGACCCCAAAGCTTCTGGTGGTGTTAGATCCTCTTACAACACCGTTCCCTTGGTTCACACAAGTCACAAGTCAGCGATCACTTGTGGCTCCACGAATAGGGCTTGCGTGTGATAACGGCAATAGAGTTCTTACTATTTGAACTCCCAGGCAGGATAGTCACTCTGTTATGTCCATGAAGCATTGTCTAACAAATTCCGAGTCACTTGAGTGATCCAGCACTGGTGCGTAACCGCACCAAACAAGAATACCCAATTCAGGAATCGTTTGTAATGCATTATTCTAAATCTAGTAGGTCAAGCTGAAAAGCGAAACTTGGAATCAAGAAGAAGACGTGTGATGATGATGACGATACTCATACAGGGTCCTATTTTTTCCTATTATTGCATAAACTGATCTCTAGGTTCTCACGATTCGCACTAGCCTCATTAAGCTCACTAATTGCAGTTTTCAGAACTTCTTGCTCGGTTGCCTATGCACCTCTTGATCTTCCTCAAACTTCTCCACCGACGGTAAATATCACATGGAAGCAATGATCAGTATAAAAATAATAAGCCTCATTTAGAATATCCAGCTTGGATTAGCCCATTCGATTTTTTAGAGGCACCAGGCACTCTTGATGGTTCTCAGTGTGGGTTTCACTCCTTGGGAGATCGTTAATTCCCCACTGTTTGTATGCATTCAAATGTGATGGAACTGTTTGTGATAACCAATAAAGAGCACTGGATGGATGTTTCGTCCTGTTTGGGACTCATCAGTAGTGTTTGTGTCCCTGTCAGGATTCGAACCGCTATCCGTCGGATCAGGACTTCAACCCTCACCCCTGAGCTACATGGCCGACGGTTGTCCCCTTGTGCGAATGGTTCAATCAATTTAGATGGATTGGCCCACTCGATTGTTCAGAGACACCAGGCTTTCCTGATGGTTATAAACCATTTGTAAACGTTTGTTATTCACAAGAATTTGGATTTATTGATTTGGTGTTAGAGACAAGTTCTAAAACCAATCGCCTTCCTGTGATGGTGAATAACCTGCGGCGTATCGCGACTTAAAATACTGTTTCTGTACTTCGCATAGTCAAATCACATGCGTTAGGGGGTAGAC